CGGAATGCAGCATTAAAAAATACTTCACCCAAATTCAAGCAAGCAATAATATTTTGGGTTTCCTCAAAAATGTCATGGAAATCATATACAGATAGTCCTCAATTTACAACCATTCATTTAGTGACTATTAAGTTAAAACTCCACTGAAAGTGACTTCTGACCAGTTTTCACACTTATGACCACTGCAACATCCCATGGCTGCATGATCAAAATTTGGGCACTTGGCAACTGACATGTATTTGACAGCTGCATTGTCCCCGGGTCATGTGACTACTCTTTTACCTTTCCCATCCGGTTTCCGACAAGCAAAGTCAGTGGGGGAAGCCAGATTTGCTTAATGACCACATGATTCACTTAATAACTGCAGTGGTTTGCTTAACAAATGTGGCAAAAATGTCATAAAATGAGGTAAAACTCACTTAACAACTGCCTTGCTTAGAAATGGAAATTTTGGGCTTAATTGTGATTGTAAGTTGAGAACTACCTGTAATTTATTAGAATCCCCAGTTCTCCATATCAAAAACCAGTTCTACCACATAGAGTTCATTGTAAGAATCATGGGAATATAAAAAAGTTATTCTCTACAATATAGTCCATATGTCAGCCCCACTAGATAAACCAGAGAAAGAAATCAACTCTTCACGAAGGCAAAACTATTTTATTGAGATGGGCCATAACAACAGAATTGTGTAAGTCTGACTGTGCTATACTTCTTCTTATATGCCAGTGAGTCAGACAGGTCTCTGCCTGAGTTTCTCAGTTATTAAAAAATATCTCATTCCCTTTTTTTCCCCATAAGTAACATTTTTTTGCATACTTTCATCAAGGTCATCTTCCTTATCCATTATACCATAGTTGAAAATGCTCCCTCTCTTGCCTTCATTAATTACTATATTATAATTTCACCCACAAAAGTATCTGAATATGTGGCTGCTTTACCCAGTGTATAAAGATGCGTCTTCTTATCAGTAAAAAAATTCTTTAACTCTGCCTCCGGACGCTTGGCATGTTTCTCCTCATATTTGCCAGTCTTTGGATTCTTGTGGCGGAAAATAAAATGTAACTTGTAATCCTCACCACACTTGTCAGGACCAAACATAATTGTGTATGGAGTCTTGTCGTGGAACTGGTCCTATGAAAGATATAGATAGGAAAACCTTCAAAATATAAATTCACTTTGAACAAAGCTTTCATTTTACACTTCAATGCGCACCAAATATTTATTTAAGTTTGAGTCTATCAACCACCTCTCAGCTAACAGATTTAAATCAATACAAGGGGGGGAGATTTAAATCAATACAAGGGGGGGAGACAAATGCCCAAATCAAAAGAATGATTCAATTCAAACAGTTAACAGTTTTCACAAAAATTGCATACATAACCTGAGTGTCATTGAAATAATGAGATTTATAATAAACAGTACTTAAGTGTTCAGTAGACTGACATGCAATCATCTTGTTAAAGTAATAAGATGATTTGCAAGAGTGTAATCCAAACAAATAAACATTAAGAGCTCAAACTTAGAAGATTAACAATACTCACCAAATTTAAATCATTAGATTTAGTAAGCAGTTTCACATATGCACCACCACACTCAATTCCATTTTGGAAGTTGACTTCATACCTAAGTTTGCAACATAAGAGGTCACACTGTCATTTTTTAAAAAAATCTATTGAAAATGATTTCACACAGCACTACATTAACATTTGACCATCAAAGCTTACATTTTTGTTTGCGTTCTTCCCTCCTCTCAATTCTTTCCTAGGTTTCTCTCCAAAAAATTACATTTACTTACACACATAAACACACATACCGTATTTTCCGGCGTATAAGACGACTTTCTAAACCCTGAAAATCTTCTCAAAAGTCGGGGGTCGTCTTATACGCCCAGTCGTCTTATACGCCGGAAAATACGGGTATTCAGGCAGGCTTCCAGAGTTCGGCTGGCAGGATGCAGGTAACCCCTCCCCCCGTCCTGCCGCCTCCCACCGCACCGCGCCGCTCCG